AGAGGGTTTGTGCACCGGGTCGGGCAAATCTACCCCGTGATATTATCGGGAAGCTTGCTAACGATTTTATCGCTACCACGCAAGCATCACGCGGGTCTTCGACAAGCTCCGTATTATTCGCGGAACAATCGTTTGCATTGTATTTATATGGCAGTCCCTCGCGAGATGTCCCATCGTCGTAATTTCGAGATCTGAGGTCTCCGTACAATAATATTGAGTTAAAGATTAAAATATTCGACGCAAGAATTCGTAATTTGCAAATTTCATATTTTATATTTAAGACATAATTTATATTAAGTATGAACTTATTCGAGTTTTAACTCTTTAATGCTATGTGCCGATTCGGTTTAAAAAAAATATATACATTTGCAGGGCCACAATTTTTTGAAAAAAATCTATTATAAAAAATTGTGTTTGTGTAAAGAAAATTTTGTATGAAAAAGAATTAAAATTCAAATCTACGAAATGTCAAGTGGTTTTCCAGAATTCGAAAAGTGCTATCAATTGCACTTCATTTTCTGAGAATGCAAAATAATCGATATCTCACGTCTCTCTGACAACGGAAATTATCGCATAATTTGCATGCGATGTGATTTTCCGCGTAGCATCAACATTGGAATCGATAGTATCGGTAAACTTGAGGGAAGAAAGGAATGTCGCGAGTCGAAAAAAAAGACCACGTGCGTCTTTATATATGTATACGATTAATAATCGACGAATCATTAAAAGATTTTCGTATTTTTTACTTGACACTATTTTTAAATATAAATTTAGAATTATTGTTTACACAGTTTACATACAGAAAAAAATTTTCTAAATTTAAATATTAAATTATTTATTTATTTTATAATTGTTTTTATCGATGTGTATGATCTATCATTATTTTAACTTCTTCATTTAATGAAAAGCTTAAATTTTAAATTTATCGCGGAAAATTATTTGTTCCTTACTTTTTCCCTTTTTTCCTTAATCGTTTATTGTTAGAATCAGTTTTCTTGATGATTTTTTCTAATTTACTTGACGTTGACATTGTCG